TATGACCTCCTCGACCGGTCAACCGACTAGTTCAGCCTTGTGGGTATAATATCCTATATCATCTAGTCCCCCCCACTCTAGTCGAGTCTGAATGACTCGATCTAAGAGTGAATCAGTATTTATCGTTCTTCTGGATGGTTCGTCGTTAGATATCGACCAGCTGGTAAGCTTCCCGCTCATTTTTTCGAATAATTTCCCATTAATCACTAGAAATAAAGTTATCTGCTTTAAGTCCTTTCTGTCGCACCCGTTTTCTGCCACGCGTCACGTCTGTTACATGTGTCAGGCGCTTTAATTACTGCGCATCCTCGCCTAACGCGTCCGTTTTGAGCTCTGTGCAAATTAATACTCCCCGTCGTTGGATCTACCTTTAATCCGACGGCTCTTATCTTTCCACCCTTCCATCTCCAAAGTATAAATTCCATAATTAGTGTATTTTTCACCTTTTTCCACCCTCTCAATTTTCGAATTACTCTGTGCCCAGAACTCTTTCTGCAGAAAAAACCTTTATTTTCTCGACGGTTTCTCCTACGCTCTTTCGAACATCAATTATCAATCCCCAATTATGAGTAAGTCTCTTCACACTTGAATTTATATTCTTTGTAGTTCTATTTCGTGTATTCTTGGATTTTCAATATTGAAAGGTGGACTTTTTAATCGGTAGAAAATTTTACTAACAAAAACCTACCCACACACACACACACACACACACACACACACACACACACATATATATATATATACATAATATAATATAATGTGGATATAAATTTGGGGCCCCAAAAATTTTGGGCCCATGGCCAATGCCCACTTTGACCTTAGTCAGGGTCGGCCCTAATCCCGGAACTAAAAAAGAAAAATCTACTATAACATAATAAATAATTAAAAAAAAAACAATAAGATTATCCCGTTTCGTGTGAGGATGTGGCATCCCTCCGCGATTGCCGGATTCCCCGTCAGTTCTCGCAGTTCTCGCTTCTCTGTACGTATGCTTCCTCTACTGTTGCGTGGTTTTTTCTCGTAAAAATAAATTCTCCCCCGATGACTATTGCGTCAATTTCCAATTAATTCCGATGAATTGGGTTGTGGCCCACAAAACTAACATATCCTCCACACTTTTGTACGTATGTATCAAAGTGATAGGCTTCTCTCCAATTAAGTTCATGACTGACCTTTATAATATCTATTTTCCAATTTAAGTAGCAGCCCCAATTATTTTCATCAAAGTGATAGGCTTCTCTCCAATTAAGTTCATGACTGACCTTTATAATATATATTTTCCAATTTAAGTAGCAGCCCCAATTATTTGAATTAATGACACCGCCTAACCTTCTCCTTAAACAATTTTCGTTAAAGTGTTCATTCTCTATTTAGACAATTTTACTCCTTTTCTTTTACAATTATAAATTTTACAGTTTTATTTTTACTCCCTGCGTCTTATTATTTTTATATTTCCATTTTGTTTTCATTTTTTATTCTTATTAAATTATAAAGTTCACCTTCTCTTTCTCCTCAATCTAATTTTTCCTCCAAATCTATTTCCCAAAATTTTGCCCCAAATCCACATTCCAAATCTTCGGAGTGAAGGAACGACAAGAACATCATCTTCGATCGGTAAAGATGGTTCCTTTAAAAACCGCAAAGTTCTTCAATCGCGGCATCGCCGCTCCGTGCAACTACTTAGTTTCTGAAATCCGTGGATGCGAGTCATTTTTGGGCGGGGAGTGGCAGCCGCGACGACGGTCCTGGCTGCGTGCGAGGGGTGTTGGACTTGCCGAGCACGGGACTGGTGCGTTTCAGAAGGTTTAAATTTTAATCATCCAATGTTGCCTTAATTTAAGATTATCAAACCAGGTCAAAAAGATGCCAACAGACATGATGCCAAACCTGGGTTGTTTGGATATTCTTTGGATTTTTTTAGGAAATTGAGATCCAAGTTGACTGGTTGATCCCACCATTTTTTTTTTTTCTTTTTGGCTTCGTTTTTATAATTTTTTTTATGAATAAAGAGTATTTGTATAAATTTTTATTGGAAATATTAATATATTTGTGTTGTAAATATTAATGATGAGAAAAAATAATTTAAAATTAATTATCTGATTTTGTAATTAACTTGGTAACCCGTGTTTGCTATGATGCTCCAAGCGTGTGGCAAGTTCTTAATGATAACTATTTTTGTTCTCTGTTTGAAATTATCCAATAAATACTCTAATTACCAAATGCTTGATATTTTCAACCATAAATTTTCTCATAAAGTTTATGTCAGATATAGAAATGTGAATGTGAATAGTAATACAGAAAACTGACGATGGTTCATATTTTTAATGTTTACATATAGTTGTTTATGTTACTTGAAAGAAGTTTCGTTGTTGTTGTTTGTTCTTTTATGATGGATGATATTTTTAATGTTTACATACAGTTGTTTTTATGTTGCATGAAAAAAAATATTGTTGTTGTTGCTTATTTTGTTTTGTTTGTTGTTTTTACAATATATATTTGTGTTGGTTTTTTAGTTGATTTAATTGTTTAAAGTTTTTTTGTATTTTTTTTTTTTTGTAGGCATTGATGGTTGAAGAAGAAGAAAAAGGGAGAACTGAGAAGAAACGTGGAAACAGAAGAAAGAAAGAGAGAGAAGAGGGAGAATGAAAAGAAGAAAGAGAAAGATAGCAGTTAGAGAGCAATTATTTAATTTAAAATAATTTTTAATAAGTACTTCTTATGAGAGTATATTTGGAATTCTATATAGCTGGTTTCATGAATGAAATTTTGGTTTAATAGTGAGTTAGTTATGTAATTTTCCCCAATTATTTTCAAAATCCAAGTCAGCCCACATTGGAATTACATTTTGGGCTTGGACATGTTGTCCACGAAAATACTCAAATACTATAAAAATAAAACATAAAAATATCATAACTCTCAAATCCATCTAATAAATAAGTAATGCAAAAAATATACAAGTGCAATAAAATTAAACATATAAAAATATGCTAATAAATATATAAAATACACACTTTTTTTAACCAATCACTAGGTTAGTTCTATGTAGTTGTTAGGTAAGTTCTCGGTAGTTGATAGGTTAGTTATCTGAAGTTGCTAGGTTAGTTTTCTGTAGTTGCTAGATTAGTTCTCTGTAGTTGTTATGTTAGTTATCTGAAGTTGCTAGGTTAATTTGAAAGCTCGCATTACCTTTTAATTCGAATAATAATAATAATAATAATATGAAAGAGTTGAATCGTTTTTCATTCACTTACGTACCCCGAGATAAACAACCTAATTATCTTCTCCATATGTTTCCTTTTTTCCTTTCCCCTTTATAAATATGCCAAACACATTTTCCCACATTTACAGAAAGCAAAAATCACCAGCTTAAGCCAAAAAAAAAAAAACACATGTCTTACAATTAATGGAGATGGATATGAGTACTGGTATGATTTTGTGGATGCTGTGGCTGAGTATTTGTTGGACTTTTAAAATGCTCCTGCTGTGGATGATATTGATGATTATCCTGATAAGTATTGGGATGATTTTGAGGAGTATTCGGGAGATTTTTGCTGAGTATTATCGTGACCTTTTTAACTTCTGATGAAATCTTATAATGTTTGTCATTTGCTGGGTTTTTTTTTTGTTATAGTCTCTTTATGTTTTCATATCAGATGGGTTTTAAAGTAATGCATTAGTCTATTTCATGTACCTTGATATCATCCCTAATCAGTTTTGCTATGGAGTCATCGGATGACTCGA